CGGTTCGAGACCCGCCTAGGCAGCAAGACCTCATCTCTACAATAAATCAAAACAATTAGCCAGGCGTGGTAGCGTGCGCCTGTAGTTCCAGCTATGTGGAAGGCTGAGGTGGAAGGATCGCCGGAACCCAGCAGGTTGAGGCTGTGGTGGCCGGGAGCGGCCACTGCCCTCCAGTCTGGGCAACAGAGTGAGACTCCAACTCAAAAAAAAAAAAAAGATAAAGCAGTGCTTGTTCAGGTGCCCTGATTTACCAGGCCTTGGACTGAGGCCCTGAGCGAGGAACTCCCAGTCTGGGGGAGGTGATCATGGACATCTTCCTTCCAAGGTGACATAATAATGGAAGTAGCTCAGGATAGAGGGGCATCTGACTCTGGTGGGGAGGGAAATGGGGAATGTGGTAGCGTTTGTGAGGAGAGGCCTCCATGTAAGTTGATGCCTGAGCTAACCCTAGTAAGATGATCAAGAGTCCCCCAGACAGGAGAAGCAGAGACATCCAGCCACAGAATATGGCACACACAGCATCTTCCTTTCTTTCATCTTTCCTCTCTCGTCTGCTGGGTGAAGCTTCCCATGGGCTAGGCCTTTGCTGGACAATATTGGAGTGAGTCCAGCCTGGCTCGGGCTCCAGAGAAGCTCCTAGTTCAGTAAAAGAGGCAGAGAAGGCCACAGATGTCCTAAGGTGGTGTGGCACAGTGCTCATCCACTCACATGTCCTCAGCAGTTGTCTGCTGAGCTTGGTGATGAGGGCTGTTGTGCATCTGACAAAGGGACCAAGAGTTCCCACCTCACCGTGGTCGGGAGGGTTCAGTGCCATACTGTTTGTAAGGTCATGGCTGTGAGCCAGACAGAGACCCAAAGAAGGGAAGCTGGAGAAGAGGGTTCGGAACTTAGATTCACTGCAGGAAACAGCCCCACTGGCTGCCAGCCAACCCCAGGTCCCATGTGTAGAACGCCCATCTTTGGGCTGGTTCCAGGCCATGTCCCAGGGTCACGGTTGAGCATTAGTGCATGCCTACCTGCCCCCACAATCGATTCTAAGCAGGGTGCCCTCCTGTGCCAGCACTTGTTCTGTGATCATCCCCATTAGGCGGAGGGGACACTGAGGCTCAGAAAGCCGACAAGACATCTCAAGATCACACAGTGCTAAGTTGTGGAGCCGGGATTCAGGCCTAAGCAGTTTGGCTCCAACACTCTTCACTCTCAGCCCCACGGCCGCTGCCTCTGCTCATGACCCCCAGACATGAAGCTAAACACCTCTTGGAGGCTGGGAGGCTGAGGCTCAATGAGGGGCTAGGGTGTCCCCTCTGAGTAGTATAGGCTCCTGGGCAGCCTGCCCCGCCCAACTTTCCCTGTGTCTCCCTGTCTGCCCCATGGCGCTGAGCCCCTCTCCCCGGCTGCCCTTCTCTGGGGTCTACTCAGCTTGTAGCCAAGTCCTTACAGGCAGGATGGTGGGACCCTCTTTCCTGGGGAAGGCGAAGAGCAGATTTGCCATGGAGGAATACTGGGGACCTGGTGCCAGAGCTGTCCTGCCTACCCAGACCGCCTCCTCCCTAGGTATGGCCCAGGCCCTGGGCCCTGACACCCCGTTCACAGCCATTGCTGGCAGTGAGATCTTCTCCCTGGAGATGAGCAAGACTGAGGCGCTGACGCAGGCCTTCCGGCGGTCCATCGGTGTTCGCATCAAGTAAGCAGAGCCCCAGCTGGGTGCCAGCTCCTGGCACCCTTGGGTCAACCCCCTCCCCTGGCTGGGTTGTCCTTTGCCAAAGGGCCCGTGGGAGTTCATGATTCTGAGGGCCCAGGCATCGGGCTGTCTCCTCAGATCTGCTCTCTGGCTAGGGAGGAAACCGAGATCATCGAAGGGGAGGTGGTGGAGATCCAGATTGATCGACCGGCAACAGGCACGGTGAGTCTGCTCTCTGCTGAGGCCACTTCCAACCCAGGGTTTGAGGGAGTAGGTGTTGGGTCCACACTGAGGTCAGAATCCCATGGAAAGTTCCAGCTTAGATCGGAGCCATCTTTGTGCCTACAGTGAGTTGTCAACGGTTTATCCATTCATGAGGGATGTTGCGAGCAACTAAAGCTGAGGCGGTGAGATAATTAGAGAGATCCAGAGTTCCTCACAGTGGATTCCTAACAGTTAGACTTAAACACCTGTTCCGTGGGATTTATACAGCTTAGTGCTGAAGGACATGTCCTGGCCAGTTTACAGGGTAAATGTGATTTGTGCTTTTTGTTTTGTTTTGGTTTTTGTTGGGTTTTTTTGAGTCGGAGTCTCACTCTGTCACACAGGCTGAGGTGTGTGGCACACTCACGGCCACTGCAGCCTCAACCTGCTGGGCTCAGGTAATCCTTCCACCTCAGCCTTCCAAGTAGGTGGAACTATAGGCATACACCACGATGCCCAGCTAATTTTTTTATTTATTGTAGAGACAAGGTCTCACCATGTTACCCAGGCTGGTCTCAAACTCGTGAGCTTAGGTAATTCTCTCGCCTCTACCTCCCAAAGTGCTGGGATTACAAATGTGAGCCACCACGCCTGACCCTACTATATATTTTTTAAAATTTTTTTGAGTTGGAGTCTCACTTTGTTGCCCAGGCTTGAGTGCGATGGCACACTCCCAGCCACCGCAACCTAGACCTGCTGGGCTCAGGCAATCCTTCCGCCTCAGCCTTCTAAGTAGCTGGAACTGCAGGTGGATGCCACCACATCTGGCTAATTTTTTGATTTATTGTAGAGACAAGGTCTCACCAAGTTGTCCAAGGCTGGTCTTGAAACCCTGGACTCAGGCAGTCCTCTCACCTCAGTCTCCCAAAGTGCTGGCATTACAGGCTTGAGCCCCCGTGCCTGGCCCTACTTTATTTTTAAAATTCAAAATTTAATTTCTTGCTCAGTACAGCGGCACCTGCTTCTAGTCCCAGATACTGGGGAGACTGAGGCAGGAGGATCACTTGAGCCCAGGAGTTTGAGTCCAGACTGGGCAACAATAGCAAGACAATGTCTTTAAAAGACAAAAAGGAGGGCCGGGCTCAGTGGCTCAGCCTGCAATCCCAGCACTTTGGGAGGCCGAGGTGAGTGGATTGCCTGAGCCC